CAGTCAGCTCTGAATTGGTTCTGCCCAGTGATTTCGCTCAGTGATTTCGCTCTGTGATTCAGCTCAGTGATTCAGCTCAGTTCAGAGGCTGGCCGCATCTGGCTGTGCTCTGATGTCCATCAATCCCATCCTCGTCGCCAGAGTTAAGTCGTGGGTTGACATAGCAGCCGGCACAGCGATTTCTTCAAGTAGCTCTTTATTATGGTAAGCTGGAATACAACTGACTGCGACAGCTCAGCCGGCCTGTATTTATAGGCAGCCGGCTGTCAACATTGTAACCACAACAGCCCAGAGTTCCCGCCTAAAATAACTGCCACGGACCTGAGTGAAAACTATCTACAGACCTGAGTGAAAACTATATACAGTATCCCCCTGTTGGCCCAGGGTGAAACTACACTACATAACAGTCTTAGTGGGAACAAGGTTGTTCTGAGCTAGTAGGCAATTAAGCCAGCAGAATTTGCAAAGTATCAAAAGGGAACACAGCTCATCCAGGTTATGCCAAAATCAGTGCAGTTACCGTATTTTTCGCTCTATAAGACGCACCAGACCACAAGACGCACCTAGTTTTTGGAGGAGGAAAACAAGAAAAAAAATATTCTGAATCTCAGAAGCCAGAACAGCAAGAGGGATCGCTGCGCAGTAAAAGCAGCAATCCCTCTTGCTGTTCTGGCTTCTGGGATAGCTGTGCAGCCTGTATTCGCTCCATAAGACGCACACACATTTCCCCTTACTTTTTAGGAGGGAAAAAGTGAGTCTTATAGAGCAAAAAATACGGTATATCAACCAAGGAAGAGCAGACAACCTTCAAATGCTTTCATGTTATAGAACCAAGTGAGGAAAGATAGACAGGGGCCATTCATAAATTCCAGGCTAGGCTTTCTGATGTTATGCAAGTCCCATTACAATACTAAAAACAAATAAAATAAAATTCTATATGGAGCAAGGTTGCCACCTCTGAAGCAAAAGCAACAACCTTTCCATAGCTTAAGGTTACCAGATGTCCCCGTTTCCCGGGGACAGTCCCCAGATTTACATATCTGTCCCCGGACAAAATCCATCTATTTAGTAGGAAGTTGAAAAGTGTCCCCGGATTCATTGAAAAAAATCTGGTAACCTCCCAGAAATAAAATGGCTCAGGTGTGCCTAGCTATGCCAAGCAGGAACGAAGGCAGTGTGGCATTAGAAATCACCCTCCAGAAACATCACATAACACGTTAGAAACAAACTGCTTCCAAACACTGAATAGTTCCATTTTGAAACAGCCTCATCTTTGGAGTTTTCACATCTATACAGTAGTGATCAGATTAGTCCAGGAAGAGGAAAAATGGGATAAAACTCAAGCATATCATTGTGTCTTCCTCCTCAAAAAAAAAGTTCTTCGGACACTGCAAATGTGCAGAAATACCTGGTGTGGAAGTGTCTTAAACTGAGAAGGGACAGAAGGGGAGAAAATCATTCAAGGCTTGTACACTGCTATCATCCCATCAGCGGCTCTCCACTCACAGATTTACTGCATGGGAGTAAGAATTCAGAGCCAGCTACCTCCCCTGTCAGCAATTTCCCCTAAAAATGTGTTTGAAATATATAACTTGGAGATTACAATCTTTCAACATGAGACCCTGGGGCAGTGAGGGTGGGAGGGGCAGCGTTTCACTGATGAAATGTCAGTGTTTAAATAACTCTGAAGAATCCCAGCTGTTGCTGCTGTTTTTACTTAAACTCATATGTCCAGACACAACAAAAATAGTATACAGGGCTTTAACAGCAAAGTTTTACAAAACAGTTCCTGCAGAAAACTACTCCAATATAGCTGCAGAAAGCAGGCAACTGTGGAATAGGATACAGGGCTACAGAATGCGCCCACAGCCCAAATTCGCACAAGGAAGCCAAAGCCCATCTCAGAGAAGGAAACAGAGCATTTGGTAATGAGAGGGGGTAAAGGGGGCAGAGATAAGTCACTGACAGAAAAGCAAGTGACTAAACACCCTGGCATTCACTAGAGGTCTAGATACCTGTTTGTTTGTTTGTTTGTTTGTTTGTTTGTTTGTTTGTTTTTTACACCTCCCCATCTCATTTAAATTCCATCTTTCCTACAAGTGTTGCAATTAAAATGCATATTGTATCTTTAAGTGTGGCTTTAGTAAGCTGGCAACCCTAATATGCAGAAGTACTAGGGCAAACTTGTATATTTGGCAACCTAGTAAGTTAATGAAGACAGGAGTGCCTGGCGTGCTCTGGTCCATGGCGTCACAAAGAGTCAAACACGACTAAACAACTAAACAACAACAGTAAGTTAATATTTATTAGAGACATTTATGCTTATGGTACAATCACACATAATACTTTTTAAAACATGAATCAAACCTCTTTAATCTATCCTATCCTCTTTAAAAGTTAAATTGTGTTCTTAACCCAGTTGGATTGAAAATGTAAGTTATGAGCTTTGCCAAAGAATGTATCAACTTTAATAAGAAATACTGTAGTTCAAGCCTTAGTAACTGCATGGCAGGACAGAACAGTTACATTTCTGTGTGTGAATGGTTTTTGCTTACAGAGGGCTAAAAAGCAAGTTTAGCCTAACAGATGAGCAATGAGAGCGATATAGACTTTTGCTACTATGAGAGGTGTGAAAGTGGATTTGTGATGTCAGCAATCTAGAGTCTTTGCGGCTTTAAGAAAAGTTCTCATGCATGTAGGGAGGACAATATTGAGACAAACTCAGATTTGGCTATGCTACTTTTGCCCCCCAATGGCATTCTAGATCCTATGGGATAGGGTACTGCTTCACCCTATATGTATATCATGACAGCTCTCTCTCAGGTGGGTACCCCTGCTATTATAAGAGAACAAGGAAGATGTCCATGATGAGTTCTGGCACCTCTTTTTCTAGAAAAATAACACTAGCTTTAACAACCTTATTTTCAAGCTTGTGATTTTTTGAGGTTTCTCAATGTGGTGCCCTCCGCATGCTGTTGGACAACAACTTCCATCATCCTTGATTACTGGCCTTGCTGGCTAAGGTTGATGGGAGCTGTAGTACAACAACATATGGTGAGCAACACATTGCATATCAAGAATGGAAACCCTTTTGATCATTACAATCTGGGGAGGGGGGAATTGAATCATTCCACTTCCACTATGACTCAGTGGCAGTGCATATGCTTTCTATCTAGGACAGGTGTGGGAAACTTTTGGTCCTCCAGATGTTGCTGAACTGCAGCACTTATCAGCCCTGACCATTGGGCTGATGGGAGTAGTAGTTCTGGAGGGCCAAAGGTTCTCCATACCTGATGCTTCATATGCTCCTCTTTGTTGTTTTACAACGTGTTCCAGAAGTGTAAAAACCAAAGTGGTGCACACCACCTGAAAACACAGAAATCAAAAGGGAAAAGAAAGCACTTTGTAGCCCATAATTAAATTCTTCTCATCATTTGTGCCTGCAAGTCTAATGATTTTGTTCATCCCTGCGCAAGTGCCTCGGTGAGTCACCCTGGCAGGCAGGCAATCCATTTGCCAGCTGGCAGAATCCAGGGGCTCGCCAAGACTTGCTGCAGACAGGCAACTTTTCTAGGAATGCTGCCTCTGATGGTATTCAGGAAAACCTGTAGCCCTGCTCACTTGCTAGAACAAGAGCTGAAGGAGTGTCTGAATTAGGGACCAAGATGCTCCCAGCGTTTACCCCACAAAGGTTCAATCTGAATGCTCAAGGGTACTAGTCACTGCACTTTCTCTTTCTCACGCCTGGGGTAAAAGATGGCAGCAGCAGAGGTGGCAGGCAATCCCAGGCCCCAGCAGAGCATCTTTTCCTACATGGGGAACTATAACCGGGATCACTATCCTTAAAGATAAGATATTAACATAACTTAAGCAAGGAAAGGGGTGCGGGTGGCGCTGTGGGTTAAACCACAGAGCCTAGGACTTGCCGATCAGAAGGTCGGCGGTTCGAATCCCCACAACGGGGTGCTCCCGTTGCTCGGTCCCTGCTCCTGCCAACCTAGCAGTTCGAAAGCACGTTAAAGTGCAAGTAGATAAATAGGTACCACTCTGGCGGGAAGGTAAACAGCGTTTCCGTGCGCTGCTCTGGTTCGCCAGAAGCGGCTTAATCATGCTGGCCACATGACCCGGAAGCTGTATGCCAGCTCCCTTGGCCAATAAAGCGAGATGAGCGCCGCAACCCCAGAGTTGGTCACGACTGGACCTAATGGTCAGGGGTCCCTTTACCTTTAAGTAAGGAAAGGAAGAAGCTTTTATAACAGGCACTCACTCAACATACATTAACTTTTACCATCTCTCCCCCACCCCTTGTTTTTTCCCACTGGAACAAAATGATAGACAAAAGAAGCTTTATTCACTAACATGATTTTTCTCCATAGGTTGTTTGGAAAATAAATCCAATTGCCTTATCTCCGTCTCCCAAGAAAGTGTTAAAGATCTTTACTTTAATCTTCAACCTGACAGAAGAAGCCACTTCAGAAAAGTTTGTATTTCTCTATGAGATAGAGAATCAATCTACCCTGCAGCAAAACTTCACAGCTGGGGTGTTTATGCAATGCCACGTGATGGCAGAGTCAGCAGAAATAGAAAACTGCTGCATTTCAACTGTAGTTCTGGGCCAAGATGCTTTTCATCTTTCCACTGAATATACGTAAGACAGTGCAAAAGAACAGAGAAGAAACAATGGATTCGAAGAAAGCATGCTTCAGCAGATACAGTGCACATTTCAGAGCTCATTGCCTCTGTCTGCTTTGAACAATGCAGAGCTCTATGACCAAATACGTAACAACTATGAGACACACACACACACACACACACACACACACACACACACAAAAAGGAATTTCTGGAGGACACCTGCCTGCCAATGTAATTGAGTCAGAAAAGTTGCACTCAGCAATTCACAGAAAGAATTCAACTTTTGGATCCAGAATGCAAATATTCATATCTCTGAGAGCTCTTGTTTCAGGCTGCTTCTGAAATAGGAAGTCTATATGGCAAATCTTACACTGTTGTTTTTATATGTTTTGAATATAAACAGTTTGACAATGCATGAATCTCTTACCGAGGCAGTTATGGCCATCATGTGCCAGACGGAAGCCATCGTAGCAGGTACATCGATAATTCCCTGGGATGTTGACACATTCATGGACACAGCCAGCATTGTCGTCACGCTCACATTCATCAACATCTGTACATAGAATGAAGAACATCAGCGGTCCAAGAATTACCAACTTTTCACTGAGCGCATGCATGAAAATCATTGAAGGGCTTTAGCTAGAGTTTATAAGTTTACTAGACCATCAATAGTATTGTTCAAACAATTGTATTCGCCGTCAATAAACTCAAAGCAGCTTACAACGAAATTGTTCACACGTCACATGGTTCAAAATGACCCACTATGTATCCTGTCAGAAACTGCCACTCATGGTCAAAACTTTGGCACCAGGTCATTTGTTAAAGCCACCATAATTGTGTTTTCTATATTAAATGCAAGATGGATGCATCTCTACCATTGTCCAACATAATCCCAGAAATATAGCCTTTAGTTTTTGATTATCCAATCAGGAATTTATGCATGCAGTACTATTGGAAGCTTGATAAAGGGATGCACTCAAAACAAGTCCTTGTTTATTATGCGATCTCAGAGTTTGGCTCTCTCAGTTCTGTTTCAAGATGGGCTTGATACTTTGATCATTCACTGGAGATAAAACTCCAACACTGAGGTGGCCAAGTTGCTTAACTGAAAATAATTGGTGGAACCACATAGGGGGGAAATCCAGTAACTCAGACGCACAGAGTAATTTAGCCATTCCTTTGATTCAGGATTTCAGCAAGAAAGGGCCAGAAAAAAATGTCACATGAGATGACACTGTGACAGCACTTTGGGTACAGGAGCCACGTTCATCACGATTTAGAAAGACTGTTCATGAAAACCAAATCTGTTTGCTGGGGAAAAATCCCATAATTATATTTAACCCAAGTTTCAGCCCTTGGGTCAACATGTAAGTATGAGCCTTAGTAGCAGCCTTTTTGCTGTAAGGAAAGCCTATGAGGGCTATTCAGTCCAGTCTGGGAACCACTTCAGGTCCTACAGATTAGATTATTCCCTGACCGTTTTCGTTGGATATCTGTGAAGGGCAGAGGCAGCCACATCTGCAGGGATTTTAACACAGGGATGGCTAACCTTTTAAGGTCCAAGGGCTGCATTGAGGATCACACTCACATAGGCCCACATACCACATGTATAACACACACAGAGACTCAGATAGCCACAACTCACCTACCCACCCTATTGGAAAAGCCTATTGGACACCCAACAAAAGCCCAAACTGCAAGCAAGAACTGCATGGATAAGGAGGAAGCAAAAAATAGGTTGGTGTTTGTTTTTTTAAGAATGTTTTTAAAATGAGTTTGGAATTTGGAAAGGGGTGCTCCACAGAAACATCTGGGGACTATTCATCTGCTATTTGGGGTGTCTCAGAGTAAGAGGGAGCATCAGCCCAACAACCTTCTTGCCTGAGGTCCTTTATTGTGCAGCGTCTCAGTTTCCCCACATTCTCCTCTGGCTTGACTGTTCTACTATCTTCTGCTTCTTTTCCCCTCCTCACCATCCCCTCAGCTCCTGGTCACCCCCTCCACTCTCTTCCCTGTCCTCTGTCCCTCCTTACTTTCACTCCATTCCTTCTCCTCGCCTCTCACTCCTCCTCCTGACAGATGCAGTTGAATTAGAGCCGCACGGTGGGATGGCCACCCTGTTTCTAGTCACAGCTGCAGCTTAAGAACTTCTTGGCTGGTGCGAGAGCTCCCAGTATCTGCCAATTTGCAGCAGTCAGGGTTTATGGTTGTTCGGGAGCGGCCTCCACATCAATGGGGAGGTAGATTACAGGCAGGGCTTTTTGTCAGCTGGAACTCAGTTCCGGCACCTGTCAAGGTGGGCGCCATTGCCATTATAAGAGAACAAGGGAGGCGTTCATGCTGTGTGTTTTCTAGAAAAATAGCACTGGTTACAGGGATACAGGAAGCTGCCTTATACTGAATCAGACAACTGATCCAACCAACTCAGTACTGTCTACACCGACTCACAGCAGCTCTCCAGGTTTCTGTCAGACAAGGAAGACTTTCCCAGCCCTACCTGAAGGTGCTAGGGATTGAATTGGGGGCTTCCTGTGGGCAAAGCAGATACTCTACCATGGAGCTACAGCCGTTCCCCAAGCCACTGTATCTCAATGGAAGCTATCAAACATGATGAACATAAACTGAGATGGCTCAGTTGGTGGAGCACGAGATCTCAGGACTAGATGACCCTTATGGTCCCTTCCAGCTCTATCATTCTATGATCCACAAACCCTTCAGGGCATGTCCCATAAGTGGGGTCCCTGTGTTGTAGAAGGGAACCCCACTTATCAGCACCCTTGTCATGAACACAGGTACACACAGTCCACCATAACCATGGGCAAGTTTCTTTCAGCCACACTGACCAGTGGAGACCACTGCATCTGACAGTGGCGGTGGCGGCGGTGGTGGTAAGGAGGATAATGAAAGCTGAAACAGAACTCACCAAATTCTCTAGGGCCCTGAAATTATCTGAGAATACTTATTAAAGCTAAGCAAGCCTCTCCCTCATCAGTGCCTAACCAGAGGCAGTCTGGTAGCCCCATGCTGTTTCACCCCCGCACAAAATGAATAATCCATTTATTTAGCTTAATAAATAAAATTAAAACCATCTGGAAGAGCCATTATTCTGACCACATTGGCTGTGAGTGTAGCAGAGTGATCTTCACATTTTTCAGAGACACCAAAGGAACTTCACTGCAGCTAAGACACAACTAATAAAAAAACTCTTTGAAATATAATGGGTTTTTGCCCCTCCGCATAAAACAGCATAAAAGAGCGTGCAAGCATTTCCTCCCCATCTTTGCTTCAATGGGCTGACCTATTCTCCCTACCTTTGCAGTGCTTCCCATCTCCGGTGTAGCCAGATTTGCAGATGCATTTGTAAGATTTGGGAGTGTTCTGGCAGATGGCGTCAATGTGGCAGTTGTCAGTCCCATCAACACATTCGTCAATATCTGCAAATGAAAGAGAGGGGGGAAATGACATCATTAAAGCCTGAGTTATTGAGTTTCATTAAACACACCAGACAACCTTTATGTCGGGAAGCCTGCAAACTGAATTCAGAAGAGCAGGCCTATCAGCTGAATCTCCCCAGGCATCAAGATTGTGCTCCAGGATGATCGCATTTTGGAGCCAGTTTCCAGGATGATCCCATTTTGGAGCAATACGTCAGTTTCCAGGATTATGGCAAAACCTTCCTCAGTAGCGAAAACCCATTGCAGCAAACCTTTGTTGTAATTCTGCCCTGGGACTTAGTGGTGAAGTTTGGGTACAAAATCTCACACATAAATGAATAATGCCCCCTACCCCCAGTCTCTCTTCTGGTTTCCTTGGCTGATGCAAAATTAGCCTTTGCTAAACACTGATGAGCACAATCAGAACTAAATAAAAGGGAATGGCTTCAGAATTCATACATTACAGAGATAATGGCATTAGTCAATCTGACAGTATATCAAACATAAGCTATTAATATCCAGCCATTACACGAAACAGGGAGATCAATAATATGCTATATTAGAGCACAACATTTGATACAAGAGAGTGCTGCAATTCAGATGCACCTATCACATCTTAATTAGCTGAGATAAGCACAAGCCTTGTGCCACATACTCCTCCTTGCTCCTCCTCTTCATTTCCCCTACAGCAGGCATGGCCAAACTTGGCCCTCCAGATGTTTTGGGACTACAACTCCCATCATCCCTGACCACTGGTCCTGTTAGCTAGGGATGATGGGAGTTATAGTCCCAAAACATCTGGAGGGCCAAGTTTGGCCATGCCTGCGCCTACAGCATGATTCAACACTTCCTGAATGAATTAACCATAGTGTCCTGTTAAACTTGAACTGGAAATTATGGTTACCAGGATTTGCACATGCTAGGATTACAAACCATAGTTTGCAGCTGGTTTAAGATGCTGCCTTGTTCCAATCATAGTAACTATAGATTCCCATCCCTATGTAAAGGGAATCTATGGTGGACAGAAACTTCCTGGGTTAATCACAATACACCAAGATGTGAAGAGGGAAGGAGAAATACAAATACCAATTGAGTGGGCACAAAGCTTGTGCACATCTCAGCTTAATAAGAAACCAGGCAACTGTTTTGAATTGTTGCATTTATTATATAGCAAAGGAGGAAAAATTTAGCCTGACATTAGCAATAATTAGGCATATCTAAATCTACTGAGTTTAATAGGTTTAGACACACCTAACTTTTTATAGGATCAGGCAGTTTGCATGTAATAAATATAAATATGATATGCAATTAATAGTATTCAAATAAGGGAATCAATGGCAAGATTCTCAGCAAGAGGAATGCAGCTTTTGTCTTGTTAAACATATTCCTTATGCCACATATACTATTGGCAAGGTTCACTATGACTCTTTCTGCTCTGCTTGTAGAACCCTATAATTTACATTATATTCTTCCATCACAGAGTGATCTGGTATAGAGGATTCCACTTCCTTGCATGGAGCTGAACTGGACGGCCTTTGTGCCTCTTTCAGCACTACAATTCTGTGAATCTACAAAGCCAGCAGGAGACATAGTTAGTGGTGAGTGCAGATGACTGTGGCCTCTTCTAAGTGAATAATTTTTGGCTTCCTTCTACCAAGCATTGTTACTAAGATTGCTCACCTGGCTCCTTCCAAGCCTCAACAGTACAGTGACTAACTCTTGTTCTCAGGTCCTTCAGGAAATAACATGATTAATAACAACTATAAGCTCTGGCTTTGCTCAGGATGTGGTTCAGTTGGTAAATGGTCAGATTTGGGTCATGCCTGAATCTTGAATAAAGCTCTGTCAATGACAGCCTTTACAGCTTTTCCTCTACTGGTTGTAATCCAGGCATTGTTGGTGGAGTGCTCAACGCTTTAGGTCTTAAGGCCCAGAGAATAGTCAAAAGGTACATGATCTGGTGCTGAAGTTAAACAGGTCTGGACTTGCCCAATAGGATGCTGCAGAGGAATAACAAGTTCAGAACTCTTCATAAATATGGGAAATAAAGAAAGGAAGACTATTTCAAAACATGCATCTTCTTAGGTCATGTAATATTCCATTACAGTGGTACCTCGGGTTAAGTACTTAATTCGTTCCGGAGGTCCGTACTTAACCTGAAACTGTTCTTAACCTGAAGCACCACTTTAGCTAATGGGGCCTCCCGCGGCCGTCGCGCCGCCAGAGTACGATTTCTGTTCTCATCCTGAAGCAAAGTTCTTAACCCGAGGTACTATTTCTGGGTTAGTGGAGTCTGTAACCTGAAGCGTATGTAACCCGAGGTACCACTGTATATTTCATCTCAGTTCTGACTGAATTCTGTTTGCGGTGTTTCACCTGTGATTACTGTTACACTTGCAATTCGTATTTGGTGCTGCAGGGAACAGGACATCTGGACAGGACACCACAGTTTTACGTTTCTTAAAAAGTATGAGTGTGTGAAAAAAGCCAGATCCTAAATAGTTACTCAACAACAACAAAAACAGACACCTGAATCTGTAGGACAGGGGAAAGGAACCTGTGAAGCTCCAAAAGTTGTTGGGCTGCAACTTCTCTCACCCTTCACCATTGGCTATGCTGGCTGGGAGCTCACAGAAGTTGGATTCCAACAACATCTGGAGGGTGAAAGGCCCATCCGTCCATCCCCCTGTGCTAAGAGGGAATGGGGAAGAATTTACCCCTGTCCTCCTCATTTCCCCCTGATCTGTTGCCATCATAAGCCAGACATAATAACTTTGGCTGTATTCCCAGCCAAAGTTATTATTTCTGGCTTTACCTATGTGTGTGCATCATGAGATTCCAAACTACACAGTGTGTATTTTAACCAAAAATAAAATCATTTTACCCAATAGAAGACAACTAAAGGGAGTCTGCCAGTCTCCACTTGGCACCAAGTCTTAGGAAATGCAAAGACAAACTTAAACCCTTCCTCATCCTCTCCCAAGTCCAGTTTATCCAACAGCTATGTTGCATCTGGCTTTCAGAAATTGGCTGTGTATATGAGCTTATTCTTAGCTACCAAACTGCTCAAATTTAGCAAAATGTATGCAGCAGAAATTTCACAAGGTGCTCTGTTTTGATCTATAAACTCAGGTTTTATAAAGCTTATTTCATTGAGCTGCAGGAAAACTGATTCGCATAGTTTTTGTTCTACCTCCCATCTTTGACTCTTGAAAATATTGGTTTAGTAGCCACTGGAAAACCTCAGAGAAGATGAAACTAATCTGAGGAAAAGCAGAAGTGAGAGATCAATCTCAAAATTGGTGGGTGGAAAAGAGATCAGCCTGAAATACACTGGTAGGGAAGAACGTGCAAGTTTTCTCATCATAATCCTCAAAGAGCAGTACAACTTACATTCTAAAACCAATGCAACAATTGCCCAGATTTACCTAAACAGCTGATCTTGTGTTTGGGGATGTGTTCCAACCCATGGTCTATTTATTCAGGAAGCACTTGTGTAGGGGTTGGGTTTCATTGCTTGTTGTATAAAGAAAAGCAGCCCCAAATATTATAATGGCCTCTTTTGTTCACTTCTGTAGGGTTACTATCTCTGGCAGAGTTCCTAAAATTTAAAAAGCTGCATAGCAAACAGAAAATCAACAGGTGAGCCACAGAGAAGATGTTCCTAGGAAATCTTCACAGGTTGAATTTCTATTGTTTGGCAGGATTTTGACTGACTGACTGATTGATTGATTGATTGATGAGCTTACTTAAAGACCTCCCCTTCATATAAAATACTGAGGCAGTGTACAACAAAATATGCAGGCACAATAAACATAAAATACAATACAAAATAAAAAATTATAATAAAAATGACTAGCTCATCTTGAAAAAGTTTAAACAACTGGATTGTTGACTGGAGCTGGTTATAGGGAACATATGACTTCCTTGCTAGAACAGCTCCACTGGCCACCCATCTGTTTCTGGGCACAAGTGCTGATTTTCACCTATAAAGCCCTACATGAAGGGTCCTCAAACTTTTAAAACAGGGGGCCAGTTCACTGTCCCTCGGACACTGTTGGGGGGCCAGACTACAGTTTGGAAAAAAATACAAACCAATTCCTATGCACACTGCACATATCTTTTATATCACGAACATCATTGCTGTAGGGATGGACTGAACAGGAAGAAATGGTATTTTCAAGGGAGGGATAGCTACATGGGCATAGCCAGGATTTATGGAAGGGAGGGGAGGCTTCATGTTGGGGGGGCAGGATCAATATTTTTATTGATTTACTTGATTTAGGTGGAGGGGGGCAGCTGGCCACAGATAGCTAAATTAAAGATGGATAGATAAACACGATTCTCTCTCTCTCTCTCTCTCTCTCTCTCTCTCTCTCTCTCTCATACACACCCACACCCACACCCAAAGTGGATAAGCTGCTGCTGTGATGCTCAGCCTCACTTACATATCAGCAGTCAGAGCGCTCACTTCCTCGCTGGCGCTGGAAGGGAATCTGCTGCCACCGCCACAAACTCCCACCCCCTCACCCACAGGGCAGGATGGTGCTCCTTGCTCCCGGAGTTGACCACGGCAGGGGCGGCAGCAGTAGTGGCTTCCCACGGGCAGCTGAATGCGAGCGAGTGCAGCCCCAGGCTGGGGCACGGCATTGCCACCGCACAGGCTGCTTGCTTTGGCTCCCACGATTGGAGCAGGGTTATCGGAGACCCCCAGGGCCACCTTTGCACAATTAACAGTCCTGTGCTCTCTCACCTCCGCTGCTTCAAGCTTCACAACTGCTCCCACGTTGCTGATATCACTTGCAATAAGGCTTAAGGTCGCGCTCACACACGGGACGCCACACTTCCTTTCACCTTAGACAGCGGCGGGTTCTGCAATTGCCGTGCGGGATGGGTTCAAGACCCTGGCGGGCCAAATCTGGCCCACGGACCGTAGTTTGAGGACCCCTGCCCTACATGGATTAAGTCCAAGCTATCTGAAAGACCGTATTCTCTCAAAC